AATTTATTTGGACGTTTCCGAATACGAATTTCTAATTGATTCCACAGATGCTCTATTGGATTCAAATCAGGAGATTGGCTTGGCCAATTTTTCAAAATTTTTACTTTTTTGTTTCAATCCAATTTTGACGATTTTTGCTTGACATTTTTTAATTTTATCAAAATTTCAAAACAATTTTTTACAAAAAAACTTGTATAAAAAACATGACGTGATTTTTCAGAATCTAATCTTTCATGTGTCACGATTTCAGGTGTGGTTATTATGTAAGTTTCTGAGAAACTGTTTTTTTTTGGCAAACTACAATTTTTCAGAAGATTTTTGGTCGAACTTTTTATTTTTTTTTAACTGTTATTCTCACAAACATTACAAAAATTTGAAATTTTGCATACATATTCTTGCAAACTTTTTGGTCACAATTTGATGAAATTTATTTGTGTTTTATTATGTACGTTTTTGCGTAATTAATTGTTTTGTAGTGACCGAAACTTTTGTCCAGGGAGTGTATGGTTTTGAGGGTAAATATTGAAACCCTGATTGGCTTAATGGAGACACTTCAAGATAATATTAATATCACGGTCGCAGGACATTGCAGATCAAATATCATTATCCCTTAAACGATTTTTAGACCAAATATGGTCTAAATTTACAATTGTGACTCAAAAATTATACTACTTTTTTAATAATTAATTTCCGTTAACGGAAATTAATTATTAAAAAAGTAGTATATAAAAAAAGATATTTTCCTGTGGTCTCACCACAATCTTTCTTATTTCATAAATGATATTCAAAACCCCATACTTTTATTAAAAAAATTTATTTGGGGGTTACATATAACAGGTAAGAAAATAATATGTGTAAAATGTAAAAATACCCATTTTTTTGTTATGAAAATTTTTCTTGAAGATCACGTTTTTTGATATATAAAGTTTATATCTCCTTCACTAAAATTATTAGCTAGTATGTAAACACTACTAATAGAACTTGTTAGGCAGATCAAATGACATGATTTATGTCTAAGAACCATAGGTCTAGTATCAATAATTAAAATTTTCCATATAGTGAACTTTTCAAAAAAAAATTTTTAAAAAAAATACAAATGTTTCTTTACTTATAAAAAACCTTAAATATAATTCCAATATGTACAATTTTTTTAAAATAAATTTTTCAAAATATATGTTAATTGAAATGTAAAAATATTCGGGGTTTATTAGTAGTATTTTAATTTAAAGAGGGATTGAATTTACTCGGAAGATCTACACAAATTTGGAACCAAAAATCCCTGTACATATTAAAATGAAAACTTGTATTGTAAATTGGATTTTTTTTTAAGTAAACTTGTTTATTAAAAATAGTATTTTTACATAGTTTACGGTTTAGACCAAATAATCAATGAGTAAAAACTTTTTCTAATCATAACTATTAAAAAAAATTAAAAATCGGGATTTTTTTACAATACACCTTTTTTTCACACTAATTAAACCCTCCCCCAAAATATCAATCAAATAAAATGGTTTATATGCATAAACCATACCTTTTTGTCTATTTAGAAATCAAAAAAAAAATGGGGAACAAATGATAACTTGTTGTTTAGAATGGGTCTACAAAAATTTGAAATTTTAGACCAAATATGGTCTAAATTTTTGTTCGTTTAAGGAATAACCGTTAACGTAGCATGGAATATTAGTAATCATTTTATACCTAAATACATATTAAAGGAATCAAATTTCTCCACCACTTCATAAAAATTATTAATAAAAAAATGAATAATAACTTTGGTTTAGGTTCCCGTCCGCTTTATTGACACCCACTTTACCGACAACGTGCGGCGTGATATTTTAGTATTTGTTAGTTGTTTGATTGTGTGGAGGTTAAAAGTAACCCCGCGTGTTGTTGGTGAAGTAGGTGTCGGTAAAGTGACCCGGACCCCTTTATAATAACATCTATATATTATTGTATTCTTTTAATTTATTAATTTAAATAAATGATCTTACAATTATAGAGTCTAATCCTTGTTGTTATGACAAATGAATATGCCTTGCATGAATTGCACCTTGCACCATGAAGTGCGTCTGCATCACATCTTGCTTGAATGATTTTCAAATATCTTCATTTGAAATCCTATTTAAAGTAACAGTATGAAACAAAAACAATAGGAAAAATAAAATTTACATTTCAAATATTTTCATTTAAAATCCTATTTAATAGTATGAAAAACGATAAATAAATTAACAACTACTCAAAAAAACCAAATCTATTACGCGGATTTAAATTCTACCTAAAAAGCCTGAAATAAATATTACTTAACTATTGCATCTAAATTTATTATTTCAAAAGTTGAGATGTGCACATTACCCAATTTCATTATATATAACAAATGTCCAACTTCATGTCAAGATTTTCTTAAAGAATTATTTGTTTACCCTGACAAAAAATACATCAAAATAAAGGGTTTTTCACATATTTGTTATTTTTTATGATTCAAGTAACAATTGATTAAATCAGGCAAGTTTATGCATTAAAGCGTGATTTTTTTCTTCATTTTTCATATAAAATTCCATGTGATCGAAAAAATTTTATAATAATGGCAAAGACATCTAGTCCTTACAACTTTCTGCGCCACAGCGACAGTTTTTGAGAAAAAATTTACAATCAAAATGCAATTTGCCACGCGTTTGTGCAGGATTTTACTCAGATAACTATGTGCATATAGATAATTAATTAGAAAATGGACATGGTTCTTAGTTTTTTTCATGCCGTTATCACGTGATAAAGATCGACCATACAAACTTCAATTCCTCCACAACAACATAACATAATGAAGATGTAACTTTGTAAAGAAAGGTCTTGGCTCCAAAATTGCATCTCGTTTTTTTTTTGGTCATGCATTTCCATTTTTGGAGGAGTTAAAGGATCCACAAGACCAATAAAAGTTGTAGGGACTAGGTGTCCCTGCACTGTAGTGGGTTACATTCTGACCCCTGTAGTTACGCAATGTCCCGCGACTAATCAGTATTATTTGGATTAATGGAGAAAGATTAAATTATGATGTAAATATATAAATCTTTTTTATTTTGTTTATTGATTTAATATTATTATTAATTTAATATAGACAAGAATAGATCAGACAGTGTGAATATAATATGAGAAAAACATACATCATAATAAATAGATGTTCAGTGTTTTTGTTTCTTTTATCATCATATCTATTTGTCTTATTAACTCAATAGTAAAATCAATATCCAAATTATATATAAATAAAATCATAAAATCATTATATTTTGTTTTGTTCTGGTTTTATTTTATTTAATAACAAATAAATTCATCTTTAATTTTAACTAATAATTTAAGCAACTAATGCACTTGCAGTTGAAGATTCACTATTAAAAAAAATTGGTTAGAAATGAGTTAAGGTCTAACATAATCAATCAATTATCAAAACAAAACAAAAGCCAAAATAAATTATTATCAATAAAATCAATAAGGATACTATTTCCAATTTGGAGGAAGTTGACCAGCAAGTTTATAATATCTGGAGAGACGGTGAATCCTTGATTCAATAAGAATTAAACGAAATTTGGCATCTTTGTCCTTACGATTACGTTCTAAATGTTTACGAACTGCAACTGCCTTTTTAATCAAATGATATAAATCCTCTGGAATTTCTGGAGCCAATCCTAATAATATAATAATAGTGACATTACATATACATATATATATATATAAATTATAAATAGCCCAACCAACAATCATCTCAATATTAATTACCAACCATTTGATTTTAAGATACGAAGTATTTTATTTCCTGTAACATTTTTAACTTGAGCAATACCATGAGAATCACGAAGTACAACACCAATTTGTGAAGGCGTCATGCCCTTTTTTGCGAGTTTAAAAATTTGTTCACACACATCATCGGGAGTAGTTTTCAACCAAGAAGGCGGTGTACGACGATATGGTAAAGCTGAACGAGCTATACCTTTACCAGGTGCATGCATACGACCCATTTTGATTTATTTATTATTTTTTGATGCAGAAAAAAAATTATTTTATTTTATTTTATCAACTAACACAAAAAAAAAAAGATTTTTGAAAATTTTTTTTACTAATTTTGTTAGGAAAGATCGACATTGCACAACTGGTGAAGTTGTTTCGACTAAATGATATTAATATGGAATTTGGCAATAAATTTACATATGAAATATGAAAATATAATAAAGTAAATCATGATTATAAATAAATTAGTATAATAATGAAAAAGGTTAATTAATAAGCAACTTGAGGCCAAGTTTCAACAATTCTTTGATACAATCGAGGTTTGGTTTGTCTCAAAGCATCAGGATCCTCGGCCAAAGCAACAAATATAGTTGAAACACCAGAATTAATAGGTTGCAACATAACAGACTATAAAAAAAACATTTTTAAATTTAAAATGCATCCAAGTATTATTTATAATAAAATTCTACTGATAATAATACACTTACTGTCAATGTGAAGCCAAATATGAAAGAAATTATAATAATCAAAGCACTCGATAAAGCCATTTGATCACCAGTAAACAAACCCGGTTCCAAATATGTAATATAGACGAATCCAAATAGTGCACAAATTCCCCCAATGAAAATCGCTGCCATCGCGAGAACATTTCCCACGAGATTATCATTAATAATTGCATCTATACCATGTTCCTTAACTAATCTCCAAGTATCCTTTGCTGCTCTAATAAATGGTTTACCGTAAATTGCAACTATAATGAAATTAATCAAAGGGATTTTTTGATCATTAGATAATTTATATAAAATTAAAATTAAATGCATCATCTTTATAACCAATTAGATACAGTTAGCTAGTTAGCTACCTTGAATGTATGCATAATAATTAAAGTATTCAATAAGAGCTTCAATTAATCCCAATATACAGGCAAAACAAGCAGCCACAAATCCAAGAATACCATCATCACTATTTGCAAGCGTTCTAAGAATTGCTTTTAAAGTGTTGAGTGCTGCAATTATTAAACTACCAAAACATACACTACCAAAAGAAGTGGTGCAGGCACGCTTTAATGAACTTAATGTTGGTGTAGATCCAACACCTTGAGCTGTACCTTCAAGAAAATAGTATGATGCATAAGTCCCACAATCTGTGACATGTACAATAGTCTTGATAACTTGACTTGTCCAGTAAAAACTAAACACGAGGAACAATAATATTAAATACAGATTTGCATTGCTACACCCAAATCTTCCGGTTTCGGTTGTTTTACATACTCCGGAACTTATAAATTTTTGTACCCTAAATAATTAAATCAAGAAAAGATTTATTATTAATGAGATAGATAGATAGAATCGAATAAAAATTATTACATGTGTGTGTATATGTATATTACTTACCATCCATATGCTGTAATCACAAACCATGCAGTCCAACCAAGTTCTAATAATAATCCAACAAAGCTTATTACAAGTGTACCATAATATTTTTTAGTTACTGATGTAACGGTTTTTAATAAGATCGCAGCAAATGGAATTCTACTCCTCCAAGAATAAGCACAGAATGCATATAAAAGACCAATTATTGCAAATATTATGGCCTAAAAAATTTTTAATTATTAGTTTCCAATAATAAAATTTTTTTTCATATAAAAAAAATCACATTAAAATAAATTACAAACTTACATAGATATATAACCTAAGATAACCAAAGAAAATAGCAGCAAGGAAATATAAAGCAATTGAAAGCCATAAAGTAACTTTAATTAAAATTTTTGGAAATTGTTGCATAAACACCATATAAACAAGTGATAAAACAAATCCGATTAATGCGCTATAAATAATTGGTTTTAGCATTTTTTGTATTAGTACTAAGAGTCCAGAAGTTTCAATAGTTTTTGTATCTGCCAACTCTTTTAAACCAAAATAACTTGCAACAACGTAAGCACCAAAGTGTATTAAAAATAATATTGCCGCCCATAAATCTGTCATATATGTTTCGTTAGATGTTTTAACGTATAATTATAATCAACAATAATGAAATGATGCTTACCTTGATACTTTGGTTTTGTATTCCATTTTTCACCCGCCGAACTTTTTTTTACAGGATGACTTTCATAGTTTTGATAATTGTTATTGGTATCGCTATTGTAATAACTATTAGATTCTGGAGGTGGCGGTGGCGGATAATGTGTTGAGTACTCCGGAGGTGGAGGTTGAGGAGGCTCGTAATTTGGGTGAGCTTTATAACTCATTTATAGTTGTTTTGTATTTCTTTTGTTTAGGAAGAGGATTTGAGAAAAAGAAATATCGAGAATGAAGGTTTATTATTTATGGCAATATATGGAAAGTGTAAATATTTATACCAATAAAGAAAAAAGAAATTTCCTATTTGTCATGTTGATCATTATCACACTATTACAATTACAATTATTTATTATATGAGGCTGTTTCATGTATTTATGTACTAGTGCTAGCTAGTACATAATATAACACAGAGGCGCATGTTCAGAACTCGAATTCAAGTTTATTATGTAAAGTAGGTGCGGTTCCTGATATTTAGTAATGAATTACATAAATAATCTTGGCAAAATTGCCACTTTGTTCTTTCCTACTGAAACAACCCCCCACATAATCAGTCATATGACAACTCATCCAATTGTATAAAAAATTTTTTTTTATTATACAAGTATGTTCTTTGTACTTTTGTTGACTTTTTAAAATCTTTTGTTTGAGGGTAGTTAGTTACCTTATAAACAATTCAAATAAAGTAGAAATACAAATAACGCATTGGTTGATTACTTTAAATCAGTGAATCTGCGAACAATTCGGAAAATAGGTCTCATTCTAAGATAAATTAAACTTTGCAGTTTGAAAAAAACATAGCTTCTACTTTTGCCATCGATCAAAGAATTTTCTTTTCTATTAAAATTATCAAATAAGCTTTACTTTTTAGATGTAAAGCCAAGTATAGATTCTTATTTAAACTTCAGGCAATGACTTTTTATAGAGTAATTTACAAAACTATTTGTTAAAATGGCAATTTTAAGAAAGACTTGACAGATAGATGTAAAAGATGGCATTTTTATCAATTCATTTTAATAGATATGTAATAATTAATTATTCAAATACGGTTCGGGTCACTATAATCCATCAAATAACTTTAAAGCTAAATAGGGGAAATATTGAATGCTTATTTGGGAAAAATAGAGATGATATTTGATGGCTATTTATTGACTAGTTCTACAACCTATTGTCGAGATAATTTATTAGTTCCAGTTATTAACTTTTAAACTTTAAATGTTCAATTTGGAAATTTTTATATAAAAACATATAAAAAACACGATTTTTAAAAGCAAATAACCCTGAAACCAGTAATTTGAATTATCTCGACGATGATTTGCAAAACTAACACTAATCAAAAGCATCAAATATCGTCTCTATTTTTTTTTTCAGATAAGCATTCAATATTTCCTTATCTATTTTGATGGGTTAATATGTGACTTGCACTATACAATGGTTATATAATACAGTGGATATATATAGGTGTCCAGGATTATGTATTATAAACATAAATGCATCAAAACGGATGTGGCAGAGACAATAGCACTAGGAGTAAAACCAAGCATGAGAATGAGAATAAACAGCGATAAATATGATTACATTCACGTTCCCCATAAAATTTCGATTTCTATAAAATTTTCTAATTTTGGGTAAAAAAGTCCAAATTTTATTTGTCATGCTTATGGCGACGAAATACGGCGATCTCTTTTTTTTTCTTCATAAAAAACAAAAAAATGATGTACAATAATAACGATGATGATAATAGTAATTCTAAAATATTCCTAGAATATTTTTTAGAATATGGATTTTTTTCAATCATTGTTTTAATTTTTATTAATAAAAATAATTTTCCTAAATATTTGAATAATAAAAAGGTAAAAATTTTCCTTCAAAGGAATATATTTTTATAATTTTTTTTTACTAATAATAATGATTTATTTATTTAGGATTTAATAGGAAAAATGAATTATGAAACTGATTTTATATATCCAAATCATTGGAAATTCAATTCTATAAATGAAGTATCACATAAAGTAAAGTGATGAAATAACATTCTAGTAATTCGTGTTTATCTGATCAAATCTAATCTGATTTGTGTATTTATAGGTTGGCAATATTGCTAGTAATAATACCAATAATCAAGACGTTGAAGCCTTTAAATCTTCAATATTTTTAAAATTTGTTATCGCAACATATTCAATTTCATTGATAATTTTGGTATTCATCAATTATTTTCTATCGGGAACGCATAACTTACCGCCAGTCAATGATGATGATGATGTTAATAATTATATTTATCAACCACCACAAGGATTCATCTATTAAAATCTCTAAAAATATATCAGTATATAAATTTCTATATGTATATAAATACAAAATACGTAATCAATCATTGGAACAATATTGTAAATATCAATAAAAATTTTTTGGCAATATAACAAATAATTTATTAATATTCTCTACTATTTAGTTAATAAATTTAATTTATTCTTGCTCTTTGTAAGGGAGGTTTGATTATATGTGTTAGAATCATTAATTAATTAATACGTTGAAGAAACTATTAATTTCTTGATTAATACGTTCTATCACATAACTTAATTTAATTTATCTTTCAATTCCCTAACTCAATCAATCCATCACCGCCATTTCTTTCCCATCTTTAGTAGCATATAGATAATAAACCAACATTGATCATTTATTTGTGCCTATATAAGCTAATTCATTATGAAAATGGTGGAATAGGAACTCTAGAGGCTTCCTAATCTTTAAAAATATTGATTGAACAGGATATATATAAATAGGTTGTTATATCTATATCTGGTCAATTCTTATAGTAAAAGGCCTAAAATTTACTATCAACAAAATACAGTGTTAGTGAAAATCGCCAGAGTTCGCCAACTGGAAAATTACAGTGTGGGTCAAACCTTTATCTATATAGTTTTCGACTGAACTTAAGAACTACACTAGGAACTAGCTTTTGATGCTTTGTTGTGAATTGCTTAATTAAGCTTACGAGTGAGAATTCAGAAGGTTATGGTGTTGGTGCAACTGATCGAGTAATATGCATTATTGGATGTTATGTTATAAAGATAGATTTTAAAAGTGTAAAAAAGAATTTAGCTGATTTTTTAAGAATCTATAATTGATTCCTAGTAAGGTTAGAATGATATTTGTAATCACTTGCTCTTGCTCAAGATAACTATCCTGACATTGTATTTTCTAACCAAGGATGACTAGTATACTTGATACACTGAAAAGAGAAAGATGATATCATTTATTGTATATATAAAATCTGTATGTTACTATGTTGCGAAACTTTACACAATATCTGATATGTGATTCACTTCTGTAAAGAGAGGAATTAGAACTTGAGACAGAGGCCTCTATTTCACCTCAAAACACCCTTGTATCTCAATAGATTTATAAACTTTTGATGTCAAAAGATTCCCCCTTTAAAAGAAGTGCTGCTGCATATTAATTAATATTAATACCCTTTGAAATTATTTATATTATTAATCGATGAATGAATCAACCAATCAAATCTTTTAACATACACATAATTAAAAACCCTGTCTTTTATTATTATTATTTGTAGTTCGCGTGGATTCAACATTATACTGTTCATTCCTGCTTCTTTTTACCCAATGGTCATGAGCAGTTTTAGTCTCGTTTGGATTATATTGTGAGTAATATCGTTTATTTGGTTTATTTGGCGTTTTGTCGTCTTCTTCAATCATATCAGGATTCAATAATCTTTGAGCACGTAGTTTTTCCCTTTTTTCTCTTTCCAATCTTTTTTCACGTAATTTTTCAATGTCAGACGCCTCATTATTATTGTTCTTTGATGCCGATTTCTATTACAATAGATTAAAGATACAGGGTTAAATTAAATGTTGAATGTTAAATGTCGAGTTGAATTTTATTTCCACCAGTTTTTTATTATTCATGCAAAATTACATACTGTTTTGATTCTTGCCTGGCCCTTTGGTTTCTTTTTCGATAATTTATCCAAGTTTGACTTAATTGTAATCAAAGGATCATCGATAGCTTTTTTCATCCCGGATTTCGCCTTCTTAACGCTATTAATAATAATATTTTTAGTAATTATTATAATAAAGTGATTATCAATATCTCAATTATATATTTATATGTATAATTTTCAACATTACCAATATAAATACATACCTCTTGATACTCTTTTTGTCTTCTTTGACCAAATCCTTTTCCTCGAATCCTAACTTTACATACCAAGGTGTTTTTTCTAAAACATTAAGAAATATTAACCACATATATTATCATTCATTATATTAGCCATATGAATAAATCTTACCTTTTACTTCATCTAAATACATTGTAAATTGTCTCTCTGATTTTTTTTCTTTTGCCTTTTTTTCTGCTTCATACTCTTCATTGGTTTTAACAACTTGTGTTGATTGCTTAAAATCCAAATATTTAGATAATTAAAAGCCTATCATATACAAAAAAAAAAACTGTACAATTTGAATTGTAAATTTTACCTTTTCTAAATCTGCCCAAAAATTAATATGTCCATCACTGATTTCTACATTATCTGCATTTTCAATTTTTTCTGTTTCCAGTTCTACTGATGAATCATTACCCGTGACAGAATTTAAAATTGTTAACTCATTTTGTTTTTGTTTTGCACGTTCACGAAGCATAGATAGTCTATGTTCTCTTTCCTATTAATCATCAAATCAAAATATTAAATGTGAGCATCAAATCAAATCATCAATTTATTATCTATCTGTCAATTTGAAGATCTAACTACCGCTATAACGGTTCTTCCGGCCTTGACTTCTTCTTCTTGTTTTGCCTTTTCTTCATCTTTTCTAACACGTTCTTTATTTTTATGATTATAAACATGATAACTAATATATATATATATATATATATATATATGAGTGAATATGTGTAATTAACTGAATAATGATAATAATTATTATTAATCATCTATAATAAAACAAACCTTTTATGGTGCAGAATGTTCATTGTAAAAAATATTTTAAAAGTTTTTGAATATTAATATTTTTTTAATATTAATATAAATATATACACTAATACCATATCTGATTTGTGATGCGTAACACAAACGTCATTGTGCATCACTATTAATTATACAAAATCTCCTCTCTTTGAATTATAATCAACGCTTGCATGTCGTAAGAATTCTATAATCATGACAAGGATAAAAGATACATTACGAAGTATAAGTTCCAATTCGTCTAATACAGAACTGCAAACATTAATTGATCTTATAGAGAAGTTTACAACTGCTCGAGATGGACCCGGAGATCCAGAAAAAATCGATGAAGTGTCGACTAAGGTAACGATGAATTATAATACATTGTTACTGTAATGGTTATTTTATACTTGTTAATTGATCGAGAAAGTTTATAAACTTTTATTTTAGGATTTTTTTATTTTGTTGAATTCATATTTTATTCAAAGTAAATATAGGTTACAGGTTTTAACCTTATTAGGAGAATTTATTAGGCAACAGGTAGATATTTCTTCAATTATTATTTAATTTGTTGATTTATTTGATTTATTGATTGATTTATTGTGATTTATTGATTAATTAATTAATATATATATTGATTAATCGATCAATTGGATAATTATTTATTAGGCATTGCACATTCATCAAATATTAGAAACTCCACTTCTTGATTCTTTACTCACTTCACTTCAGGTATTATTATTATTATTAATGAAGTAAGATTGGCATATTGTATAGATAATTATACTATACACGTGTAAATAAATGCAATTAACAAATTCAATTCTTTTTTTAATGAAAATCAGTTAGACACATCAACGACAGTAATATCACTTTCATTGACAACGTTAATTATGTTATTACCACATATTTGCACATCTGTTATAAATTATCTTCCACAACTTTATATTATATTTATTAGAATTTTGTGTTGGGATAAACGTGATATCAGATCAAAAAATATTGGTGATGGTGATGATGATGATGATAATGATGATAATGATGTGAGGGATGATGTGGAAGAAATAAATGATAATAATAATAATGATGATGGTGATGATGATGGTGATGATAATGATAATGATGATGATAATAATGAAATAACTTGGGATAAATGTGGTAAATTAGTTTTTGTTATATTATTGTTATATTACAGCTACGATTTTTCCTCACAAGTAACTATTTCCAAGAGAAAATGTAAAATAATTGAAAGTTTTTTTTTTGATAGGTTCATCATTTAAAAATACACCAACCGGTCAACCAAATTTTCGACATCTTTTTACATTTTTATATGGAATGTTTCCATGTAATACTGTGCAATTTTTAAAAGATCCAACTGGATGGGTTAAAAAGATGAATCATGTCCCAATTGTTGAGGGAATTGACGACGATGTTATAAGAGCACGAAGCTTGGTATTAATATATTGATATATAAAATATAAATATAAATATAAATATGCATATATATAACATTACATAAGTTGACAATTATAATTATAAATATATATGTGTACAATTTTACATATTATAGCCATTGTTACAACGTCATACGATTCATCCAAATTTAATTTCGAGCGATTGCGAGAAGGAACTTTCAGACACGTCAAGATGGATGAAACTTGAACCGGCAGATTTTATAGTGGAATCAATTGGATTTGATATAGATAATTCATCAAAGAAATATGCAGATCAGATAGAAAATATAACCAAAAAAATATTACAAGAATCTAATAATTCGATGACGGGAAAACCTGATGAAATGAGAAGAAGACCATCACATACTATCTCCGTGAAAGAAATCATGGAAGTTCATGAAGCTCTTAAAAGCGGAGTTGATATAGTAGTAGGCGATGATCCTTGGGTATTTTATTACTTATTAATTAATTAATTTATATTATTTCTTTTACTTAATAATTAAAAATATCATGATGGGAATTTTGTAGGCATCAAAAATAATATCATATTCAAACTCACTTTCATCACAGCCAGCAAATAATAATATTATTATTTCACCACCATTAAACCCAACAACGACAACAGCAACAACGTTATCAAATGTGGATTCCAGTGTGGCATTTCTTCAACGTGAAATTATGTTACTTCGTAATGAGTTAAATTTTGAACTTTATCTTAAACAACAACATCTTCAACACATTGGGCGTCTTCATCGTGATCATATACTTGACAATATGGCTGAAGCAGAAAGACAAAATTTGTATAATACATGTAGAACATTGAAATCTCAATTAAAGAGAGTTCAGGCAGCATTTGATAGACAAAGAACCGAAACTGCGAACTTAAAAAAGACAAAAGTTCAATGGGAAAATGAACTGAACACAAAACTAAAGAATTATCGAGAACAGGAAAAAGAATTGAAATTACAAATGGATAAAATACTGCAAGAATTAAACGAAGCAAAGGTAGGCATTTTTAATTTTTTCATGAGAATTTATGATGAATTTATTAAATTATAATAACATGTATTGTATAATTTAGCTTACGATAAGTAAGCAAAGTAGACGAATTGAAGAGATAGAAGCAAAGTAATCCAGATTTTATAATTATTTATTAGATAATATTACTTTTTTAATTATAACATGAAAATGAGAATATTTAAATTTTTTTTTTTTAGAAATTTTTTAGTGGAAAGTAAACTTAAATTAATTGAACCAGAACTCGTTAAATTAACAGAATATCAAGAAATAATCGATCAATTAAAGAAACAGCTTGTGTTATGGTATTTATCTACAAGTGTGTGTGTGCGCGCACACAACATATATATAGAAGTATATTAATTACTGTTGCTGTTATCTAGGGAGTTGGATACTAAAAAATTTGAAAGGCAAAAAAAAGATTTAGAAATTTTAGTGATGGAGTGGCATAAAATGGAAATGATATTAGAATCTAAAGATCAAGAGATCGAACAACTAAAGAATTTGGTTAGGTAAATGCCTTAATTCATATTAAAAAACTCACATTTTTTTATATTCATAATTTCTGAATTCATCACAAAATAGTGATCAATCTGAAATGATTAATGAATTGAGAATAAAGTGTAAAAAGAATGTCAAAGATTCACAAAATAATCAAAAAACTGCATTTGAAAAACAGGTAAGATAAAAATTGATCGATTAAATAATTTTAAAATAAATAATTTTTCCAAATCAAAATCTAAATGAATTTAAATTTAAATTTAAAGAAAGAAATTTGGATATTTGAAAGAGATAAAAAGTTTGAAGAATACAAGAAATTAGAAACGAATTATGATCAATTGAAGAAAAGCAACGAGGAACTAAAGGTGACCAATCACTTTTATCAGTAAATAATTAATCATTTTAATATAATAAAACATAAAAATATTTATTGATTTTTTTCTTTAAACAAAGTCGGAAGTTCTTGAACTTTTGGCTAAAATTGAATCTTTAACGCCACGAGAACCAATATCAATATCATTACTTTAATTTATTTGATTAATTTAGGAATTAAAATCTAATTTGTATTATAATAATAATGGTGTATTTTATAAATAGACATATACATAAATAAAATGTAATTTAAATCAAAAAAAAATAAAGAAAATCCATTTGCTATATAAATTTTACTTGATCGCTTGATGCAATAAATATTTACTATATATCAAATAAATTTATTTCAACCGATCAATCAATAAAGAGCATCAGTGGTCTAATGGTAGAATACTTGCCTTCCAAGCAAGTGGCCCGGGTTCGATTCCCGGCTGATGCAATCTAGAGTACATTTAAAAAAGGAATTTAACCAGATTAAGCTTCTTTCAAATTTTTTTTTTGTTTTAGCGCCAAAAATTATGTAGCGCGGGCGGCAAAAAATTGACACATGAGCAGTTCTTTAAAGTGTTGATTGCCACATTTTCGGAATAGCTTATTGTTGCTATATAAGGAAATTTTAAATTTTCCCACAGTCATTCTCAATTTTTCAGAGAGTGATTATATATTAATATGCATATATATGAGTATTTTCCCGCAACATTTTTTTAATTGTATAATCGTTCAATATCAATTTTTTTATCCGTATTTTATTTTTTCACAAAAAAAAAAGTGTATTTTTGTTAAATATTTCGTTTTTTTATTTGGAGTAAACAATCTTTTTTACAGGTTACCAAAGATGCCTGGCGCCGATGAATTAATCCTAATATAGTCCATGTCTCCCAACAAATTTGTCATATAACCCCACTATAGATGGGCGTCTAAATTGTTTTTGGCGTCAAAATAGTATTTAGACAAAAATGTCTAAATGTCTAAATTAATATAAATGGTAATGATTTGCTTTAAAAACGTGAATATACACAAAAATCCACAAAGTTCGGTAAATTATCTAATAAAAATTCAACATTTTAGACAATCATGGTCTCAATTGTCTAAATGTCTAAATTAATCTATATTTTAGACATCATCAAGAAAATAAATCTCACGTAAACCTACGCAGGATTTAAAACTGACCAGCATTATGCGGAAATGTTAACAGAATTACCAAGATATCGACATAGTGCTGGCCAATTCTGAACCCTATGTAGGTTTACGTAAGATTTATTTTCCTGATGATTGTCTAAATAATTTAGTTTAGACACCCATCTATATAACCCCACATTTCACCCATTCCTCCAAGACCACTTGGCGTAACTGTTGCTGTTGTCCAAATAGCTTATATACCATAACATATGGAAGCTTCTTCCTAGCGAGTTTTATTTTCGAACTTTTCCTTTTTATCTATCTTGATTACTTAGCAAGTTATTTTTTTTTTCTATTACGGAAAAAACTTGGTCTCTTGGCAATGCATCTTCGTCCGCCGAAGTTTATCTTAAAATTTTTTTAATCTTTTTTTTTTTTTAGTCATCAGTTTGGCTTTTTCTTGCCAAGTTGGCGATATTTCATTTATTTCTTGTAAATTATTTAGGGATTCATGTATATATTTATTAAGTTTAAATTGGTGAAATAAAGATAAAAAATTTTTATGTTTTGTATGAATGTTTGCCTAGTTTAAAAAGTTTCGCGATTCGAAAAAAGATATTTCCATCGTTACTGTTGCGGATTTAATTAACATTTTTCCTGGCGTCAGTTAGTGACTTAACTTCAATAGAGGTGGCTTTGGGTAAAGACGTTTGTCTTTGTAATCTGCTTTAAAGAAGGTGAAACTTGAAATGAAACTTGGATTAAGCGTGAATATCATATGTAATTTTTTTTGTGATAATTCCTGTATTTTGATCACGTTACTTACTCATCAAGAATCCTTGTCGCATTTTATTTTAACATTCAATCTCAAGAATAAGATTATAAATAAGAAATTCTTTTAAAATTCAAATAAATTTTCCACCAACGATATTATAAAAAATCATAGCCATAATTTTTCTTACTACCAAAGCCAAATCGAAATTACAAAAAAAAAAACCAAGACTTTATCGACACGAAATAAATAAATAAAACTACAAATTCTCTTTCTTTATGAATTGTTGAGTGGACTACTCTTGACCTTTTACTATATTATCAAACCTATAAAAATCAGTCCTGTAACACCAAAAATAAATAAATAGAGCCTAGAAAAAAGATAAACCAAGTAAACTAATCAGTGATCTAAATGCCCAAGGGAAATCTAAATCTTGTGGGAATTTTTTCATTTGGTGAAATGGAAATTGAAATCCGGGAATTATGCGGTGGAGAAGGAAAGGGAATTGCTGTCTCGCTAAAAAAAACTTCTATCAACAAAAAATGAATCATAGAAGGTAAACCAATAAAGGAAAGATAAAACATTGAAGGAAGAAGATGTTATAAATGATGAAAAGAAGATAATATTATTTATTAATAATAATATGAATATATAAGATATAATCTATATCAGAGAAGCAAAAGAATAACAGTCAATATTCACCATCCGGCAGTTTTTGTCCTAATAAATTTTTTAACATTTTCTATTAAAATTAGTGTTGGTCGCCAAAACTATTTTGAAGAGGTGAAAGTCAAAACTAAAATTAAAAGTTATATGTCAAAACTAAATCAAAAGTCAATAGTCAAAAATCAAAACTAGTTTCGACTTATGGCGAAACCTTTTGACTTTCGCACGATTGCGAAACTCTCGAGTTTTGGAAACCAACACTAATTAAAATGAATATAACGTTATTTTTCTTTTTATTATTTTCAATCGCCTGTTAAGATGTTTACGATAACTATGCAAGAGTTAATAAATAAATTGCATAAATATTAAAACCATGCAATAATGAAGTTTCAAGGTAACCAATTTTGAGAAAAGTTTTGACAAGAAAATTTGACAGGGTTGGAAATAAACATTCAATATTTTCGTAGAATTTAATTGGTTTTAGCATTGATTTTTTTCATTGAAGCCCTATTTGCTCGTCCGAGTCCTCTTGCAAGATAGAATAATGACTTATTGCTTTGTCGCAATGAGAAAGTTCCATTCTTAACAGATTAAGCTTAGGTGTTAGGCTTCAACTGACTCTCCAAAAAAAGAAAAGATTCGGATGCAATTTCAGCCCAATTGTTCCGTTGCATCGTATCGGTGTATAACTAAACTCTTTTTTTTTTGATAAAAGAAATCAGAATATTATGATTAAGCTCGAATTCCTGAAGCGACAAAGGTAGGAAGTTTTTTAATAAATCATCAGATTGTTAAGGGTAAAGTGTACTACATAGTACATGTTAGAGAAATTCTTGTGATTACGTATTTATTTAATATTAAAGTTCAAACTTCTGGTGAACACGTAATAAACTTAAAATACATATATTGTCTCTACGTTAGCCCACCTTAAACTTTCCGATAATATTTATCTATGTCAAACTCGTGAGTGGCTGACTATCCTCATTTTCTATTTTATATATAGTATATAGTATCCATTAGTAGTCATTTATTAATAGCGAATAATAATAACAAACGGGAAATGTAATATTAAGCAAGTATTTCTTTCTTAGTAATATAGTGGCAACGAAAAAATTTCAATCATAAAATTTTTTTGGTCACGTGAATTTAAAGTAGAGAAGGCATATATTTAGTTTACATTTTCTTTAAGAAGAAATATAAGAAATATCAATGATTTTAATGATTAAAGAATTACGCGACCATAAAAAATTTAATGATTTACACGACTAAAAGTTTAGCGATCAAATATCCTAAATAAATATTACTCAAAAAATTTAATCTTCAAATAAAGTTTATAGTGAAAATGAAAGAACAAAACAAAATAGAATCGCGAAATGAGAAGGAAATGAGTTAGAAAGAAGGAGACGCATAAAATCCAGGTTTTGTTAATAATTAATTTCGACAGACTATCTTTACCATTAACATCAAAAGAATAAAAAGTGAAAAGTAAATTTAATGGGTACAAAATAGTGATCTAACAAAGTCAAACATATGAAAATGATATCTGCTCCCCGTGAGTGATCACCAAGCAATTATTTAGAGGTTAAGGAATAATTCATTGCAGCCAGATTTTTACAAAAATGTTAATTCCTTTTATTTATTTTCTTAAATTTTATTGGCTAAAATTTTTACACGTGATAAAATTTAAAAGCTTGTGTCACTTGATGCCCTTTTATTCCTTTTCAAGGTATCTAGTTTTTTATCAGTCAGTAGTCCTCTCCATATGATACTAAGGTTGTTATAATATTTACAAACAACTAATTACTTAGGTATCACCAATCAACCAATTGATTTATAATATTTATAGCAGATATTGATGCATCTGCTAATACTCAAAGATGAACTTGGTATTAAATGAGTGTTTAATTAATTAATTAAAGGCGTGGAATAAGGTTTCAGGTCCAAACTATTTTGAAACGAGTAGTAGCTTTGGTAATGGTATGGGCTTCTCAATATTTTTTACAAGAATGAACATGAAAAAACTATATAAATCAACCTATTTAATTTAAATAATTTTGGCTATTAATAAAAAACAGTTTGGGCCTATAAAAAATTAACTTTGTCCAAAGCGTTTGGAAATTTCAGCTACTATGAAGATAGTTTCAACCAGAAAACTCGTTTTAGAAATCTTAAATATGAATTTGCAGGAACCAGAAACTAAAGAAAAGTTGTTAAGTCATTACAAAAGATGAAAGTTACTGGTCAAATGAAAAATATGACACTTGATCTGCAATGACCTGTGACTGGTATAGGCGTTTAAAGTTAGACGAATATGCATCAATACAACTTTACATATAACAATAGAGTTACTATTATTTTTAAATAAATATAAAATAGATGTGGGTTTGAATTATTATTTTTTTTTTAGAAAACTTGTAGCGATTTTATTGGTTAATTATAGTAGGTCACTAATGAATGACTTAATGACTATGTCATTTAAGTGACCGATGATTACCAAGGTCATGTCATTCATTTCCTAAATGACCTTGGTGACCAGTGATCATAGATTCAATGTGACCCGGGTCATTTTAAAAAAATCGAAATGACCTAGTCTTTTTCCAATATTAGTGTGACGATTTTTTTATATACATAGTCAATCGAATCCTGTTAATTTGAAACATTCCTTAATACTAACTTTTTTAAAAAACACAAAGCCCAAATTATATGGAGATTTTTTACCCCGTTAAACCGTAGCTTTTTACTTTTTAATCCGTAGATCCTATTAAACCGAAATTTTTTTCGAAATGAATTTTTATTTTAATATTAACTAATCGGATACTAATATTCAAGTTTTTGAAATATATATACACCAGGGTCCCGAAAACTATATAGATAGATTACATCCGAAAATCACAGTTTGATAGTAATAGAGTTTGACATCACACTGTGATTGCTATTAGAGACAATCTTTCCAAAATTAGTCATTTTTATATGACTTTTTTGAAGTTTGCGGGGTCCTTAATATACCCCATAAAAAATTTGTTACACAATATGTATAAATTACATAATAAGACGATCATTTATATAAAAAATTATTAGTAAAAAAACACTTGTTTTTCATGTTTTTCATGTCCAAAAAGGTGATGGATGGTGCAGGAGAAGAAAAATATGATTTATTTGTTTATCATTAATACATAATAAGATAGAATCTTTGTTGATATTTATTTTATTTATTGTATAGATTGCAAAACAAGAAATTTTTACATAGTGTGATATAATTATCAAGTATCTGTGATGACCAGACATTAAAATAAAATAATAAAAATAACAATCATATAAATGTTTTGATGCATCTTGTTGCAGCAGGTTTTTTGATAAGTAACAAAGAATAAGGATCAGCGCAATATAAAAACAGCCGATTTTTGTTTGGTTTAAAGATGGTAAATTTGTTCAGTGTATCACATGTAGCAAAAAGTGTGTACACTACACATTTGATTTATCAACAATAAATAATACGTTTGATTATGTTCAAAAACTCCAGACCAAAACAAACAAAACCTAGAATTCTAAAATTGACGTTTCTTATTAACTTTATTCTTTCACAAAATGATTCAAACAACCAAAGCCGAATAAACACAACCCACAAAAGTAAGATTTTCCACGTTAATATATTGTCATGAAAAATTATTGATTTAAATTTTTTTGACACACAGCGCCGTTTTTTCGCGAAATAAATACAATTACACATTGTATTATATTGTTCCTTTTTAAACAAATCATTTTAAATTTCTAATTATATATTAATATAATACTTTAATGTTTTTTCGCTGGTAACGATCTACAAATAGGCATCATTATTACCGCATTAATTCCAAATTATCCTGTTTCTACTTGAATATATATATATTTAATTTATCAAAATTTTTTTATCTGCGCGTCCAATGAGATTTTTTTTGGATGAGTTTAGTAAAGAAGTCGGGGTAACTTTAATATACCATTTGGTAACACTAGAAGATGAAGAAACGGTACCTTTGCAAGTCAAGATTAATTTAGAATCGAACCGCATAATTAGCTCCAACAACTAGTCTCTCATTATCTTTTCTTCATCGCTGTAGATATCAAAAACAGATAGTTCTTTTTGATGTAATTAATGGTTTCAAATTTTGGTAGTGATTTTCAAGGGGTAAATTATCCGATTATTTAAATTCAATATTCAAGTTGGAAAACATACGTAAAGATTTCCTTCCTGGTTTAAAATCACAACATACTTATGAGATGTCTCTTTAGAAATAACAATCATCAATCAGCGTCTGAAAATCATCGTTAACAATAACAACATCGTTGTCATATACTGCTGACATTAATGATACTAATAATCATTATTCAACTGTATTATATTAGATGTTAATAGTGTGCACTGTCTGGACAATTCAGTTAGATGGTAACGAAATTACAATTTCATATTTGATAAATATAATTTCTATAAATCATTCTATTTACTATTTGCTTCTAGGAATTAAAATTATTTCATTCTAATATATTCTTTCAAGTTTATCAGTTTGTCTCCCTCTAGGATATGATAAAATAAGGCCCGAATGAGTGGCTCGTGGGATAAGAACAAGAGTAAGTGAGATGTGAGAAGAATCGGTGGAACAAAATAATTTAAATATCGTGTTTTATATCCCCTTTTGAAAACAAGGTATTATTTTATTTCAAATATATATCGTCATTTTGTTTATCTTTAGTAAAGTTATCAACTGACGATTGAATATATATATCTATTTATCCCAAAGTGTTTGAATTTTTTTTTTTTAGTTTGATTCTTCATTTTTATAAAATAATATAAACCAAGATGGGAAAATTGCAGATCAAAGGGATATACCAAAGGGAGGTGTGTAATGTTTTCAAGTATTCAATGTTTAAAACTTCATGGCAGTAATACTTATTGGACATCATTCTAATTTTATAATCTTCATATAACAAGTTTACTATGAAGAGCAATCCTGCGACATATATACTCACAATTCCAAGTTCTAGAACCGGCGGTCTGGTCCCAATTCAAATTTTTCTGACGAAAAAAGAAAATTTTTTGTATTTTTCTTTTTTTTCTTTTTAATAAAATATCTGAATATCTTAATGTCGATTTTTCAGAAGAAGGTTTTCCAACTCATGAATTTTTGATAGGTGAATTTATGATGAAGGATTAATTGACAATGGTGGATTAATTTATGATGGTTAGTGACAGCTTAATAAATTCACAGGATTCTAGTAAAATTATGTTCAAGAATCTTCAACTTGTTCAAAGAAAAACAGCAATTGGGAATCATACCAGAAACAAAATTCAACACAAGTAATATGTGTAGAATAAAACTGGAAATTCTACATACCAAACAACATTGAATTTTGCAAGAATTAACCCCTATACTGTATTGGAACAAATAAGCGAGATAAAACATCAATCATTTGGTCAATATGCGACTTACAACCATTTTCAGTCTTTGAAAACGTCTATTTAAAAAAATGTTATATCTTTGGACCAAAGATATAGGACTCCAGACTGTCAAAAGTTAAAAATTATGTAATATATCAATCGGAGTTATGTGAAATGAATTTCCAGGCAATATATCAATTACGACAAACGTGTGATACTCTACTTTAGATAATGAATCATTTTTGTTCATTTCATTGATTCCACTTGGACTTTTAAGCATTTTTTATTGGGCATACTGGTATTAATCTTATTGCACAAGCTATACCAACGACTTTAGTAAGGGTGTTGGGCCACAACGGATAATCCTCAAACAAAATCACTTATGCACTACCGCTGCGTTACTCAACAAGGAATTGAAATTGTGGGTGTGCAAGTTGATTTAATAAGAAATTTGATGTCTAAAATTAAAGGTTCGGTAAAATTTGTGATTCAATAAGAAAACTGCGATGTTGAGAGTCGATTACTTAAGTTGGAAATTGATATAAAAACCAGATGGAACAGCAGATTCTGTTTAAAAAAAATGGAGATGGCATTACGTATGTTGAGAACTGGAGAAACATCCACTCAAAATATTTTACCTGATATAAAGATAATTAAGTCATTGATTTATAAAATTTAGTTGAGATATAATCCAATTAAAATAAATATATACGGTATATGCTAGTTCTTTTAGAACCTTTGAAAAAGGCGACCAAGTTTCCTTCTTATCCTACAATGGCTTTGTGTTTTTAGAAATACAAAAAAAAGTTAGTCGACGACGATGAATTCGGTCAATGAGCTATCTCCTTCAATAAATGCAAAATTAGGTGATTATTGACTAGAGACAACTTTCCTATGATATTGAATCCTTGTACAAAAAAAAAAATTTTTTTAAATCTGGCACTGAGATTGGTTTTACAATTAATTGATTTCATAGTCGATTTAAAAAGAATCCATTCCTGGTTGTTTTTCAAATCAGCAACAAATTTATTTACTGACAACAAATTTTTTAGAGACATCACTTAATGGATGGTGTAAATCAATATCAGCAACAATGCTTATAATAATAATATAAAATCCAGAGGGAAGCAGGTTGCTCTGAATTTATTAAAAAATTACATTCAGGTCTTGAAGGCTTGTAGATATCTTTCTTTGTTCACGGGGTTTTTACTTATTTTGTCAGCAAAAGAAGGGCCATGAAAGCGGCACTTTCAAGGTATGAATTGATACAACTCTATCAATTCTGACGTCCGAGCTCAATGTGAGAAAATTTTGGAAATAAATCAATTTATTTCTGTGATTATTGGGTGATGATGCATTTTATAAAGTCATTTGTGATTGGGACAAGTGTATAGACCTGTTTCTTCTTGAGAAACGGGGAAAAAGTATACACCCTTTGCTGATTACTTTAAAAGCTGATCAAATAGCAGGATAACCAGAATAAACATTAATTGATGAAAATGTTCTTGATTGTCCTCATGAAAAAAAGAATATTGAACATTTAACTAGCTAGTAAGGAATTATCAAAACCAATGAAAAAAGTCATAGCAAATGTCCTTCTTTTCATGACAAGGTATATTTTCTTTCAACCATTAAAGAATTATCACTAGTCTTAAAAGAAGGTGAATTGATTATTACGAGTTGCATTGTTAAACGAAGCATAAGTCTTCTGTTAGTAACTTGGGAAAATACAAACAACGTTCGGCAAATTCCTCACGTTGCTAAATTACTCCAATCAGAAATTACTTCCTTCTAAACTAGGGGAGGTGAATTTTTTACAAAGATGAAATTAAACGAAATCACTATGAATGATGATATTGAATAATAAAAAAAATGCAGAAACCTACTGACTTATATCACATTCACCATCACATTATATTTGTAGCACAGCTTGTACAGTTATGGCACAAATTTGTTTTAATAATAGAATAAACTTCTGTCTGACATTCATCTAGTACTACAAGGACAAATTTGATTAATCAATATTCGGAAAATTTCAAAATTGTTTGTTTATATTATTAATTTGGTAAAGATTGCAAAAGGATCTAACAAGCATATAATGGAAATTATAGAATCGTAAGTTTTCTTTATTTTTCTTGAGTTTGTTTATTTAATTTATACGGTCGATTCTAAATCTGGGAAATTTATTTAGTCTAGGTAACACTCACTATTATAATAAATATTAATGTTAATCAATTAATTCAATTAATTGGGAAATAAAGAGAATTAATATAGAAGATGCGTACCGTGTTGAAAAAAGAAAAAAAATGGCATGTAGTACGGTACTCACCTTATAATATTGTACTCGAGAGTGTTGGGAATATGAATTGCTATGTTGAACTTGGGAAATTTTGTTTTCTAGTACGGTACATATATTAATATATATAAATAAAATAAAGAATTTATTGCCTACCCAAAAAAGTGAATAACACGAGATTGGTTGTGTACACATTTAACGGAATTTATTGTATATAATATAATTAACTTTTTCTCATCAAAAAAAATCAAAATTATTAATCAAAAATCAAATCTACAATAATGTCTACAGTTGTATCAAAATCAGCTCTTTCACTTCACCTGATGAATATAGAAAAAGAAAAGTTACTCTATTGACTGGTAATTATTAATTAATAGATAATCTTGATAATAATAATCGGAATGACAGAGATAATTAATTAATTAAAGAGAAATTAATTTTAGGTATTACTGGACTGGTCAAGATGGCTCTTATCTTACTGAATTCCTCTTAGAAAACGGCCACACTGTTCATGGTATTATCCGTCGTTCTTCTTCGTTCAATACTGGTAGACTTGAATATTTATACAAAGATCAACATGAACGTAAGTGTCAAATAATTTTAAATAAAAATATTTTTGATATAGATTGATGATTAATGATTTTCTCTCAAAATATGTTCAGGTCCAAAAATGGCTCTCCATTTATGGAAAGCTGACAGATTTCATATTGTTTCACAAGTGTTTTCAACTGAAATTTATAATCCTGGAGTTCAATCTCACGCCAAAATTTCTTTTGATATTGCTGAATACCTGTGAGTTTATAGAAAAATCAATTATATATATAATTCATTTTTATAGTTGATAATTATAATTGATTCGATTATTTTTAGGGTGATATAGATGGTTTGAGAACTTTACGTTTATTAGATGCCATCAGAATTGTTGGTTTAGCAAACCATGTTAGATTTTATCAGGTAACAATTATTATTTTACACTACTCTCCTCACTTATACCGATAATTAATAAATCTATGTCCCTTTCTATATATATATACTTATCTATCCACCACTTTATATATTTATAGACATCCACGTCTGAGCTTTATGGCAAAGCTGTAGAAACTCCACAGTCAGAAACCACACCATTTTGTCCTCGGTATCGCTAAACTTTATGCCTATTGGATTGTTGTTGATTACCGTGAAGCATACAATATGTTTGCTTGTAATGGTGTTTTATTCAATCACAAGCCTCCACGTAGAGGTCGTACTTTTGTAACTCGTAAAATTTATAGAGCCGTAGCTGAAATTCACTTAAATAAACAAAGTTGCATATATCTTGATAACATTGATTCTAAGCGTGATTGGGGTCATACAAGAGATTACATTGGTTAGTACATATTACATTTATTACATTTATTATTATTTATAATAATGATATATTCACATGATATGTAATTTATATATTAAAATATTTATTTCCTCCAAAAAAAAAAAAAATAATAAGAGGAAATGTGGTTGATGTGAAACTCACACTGTTAGAGAATTTGTTGAAAAATCATTTGCTGTAATTAATAAAACCATTGTTTGGAAAAGCGAGGATGAAAATATGGTTGGAAGTGAAGTTGACGCTGGAATCGTTCGCGTATGCGTAGATCCAAAATACTTCCGTCCAACCTAAGTTGACCTTTTGCTTGGTAATCCTACTAAAGCTTATAATAAACTTGGTTGGAAACATAAAGTTGATTTTGATCACTTGTAAAAGAGATGGTTTTGGCTGACATTGAGGGGGCCAAAGTTAATTCTGAAAATTAATTTTTCAAGTTGTATAAAAAATTATTTAATGTTGACAAAAATTTTTTTATTTAATTTTATTTATAGAAATGAAATTATTTTTTTTCTTCTAAAGTTTTATTTACATATGCACATATTAATTTTGATAAAAATTCAATAACGAATTAATCTATTTTGAGCTGCTCTTAGGGGTTTATGTTTTCTTAAAAATTTATTCTTAAAGAGTTCATAATAATGTGTAAAATTTGGCTTAAAAATTAAAAAAAATAGTTGAAAGTAAAAATTAAAGACACGAATCATTATTAATAAAGAGAATTTACAATTATTTCGAGTTTCGAGTTTCTACAGAAAAAAATAATCTACTACTACTACTGCCCTATTAAAGAGTAAATCCTAGTTCATAAGATTAGCGATGTCCATTTTGTTTTTAATATTCCTTCTGTTTGCGAAAAATGGTCGTTTCCTGAAAAACCTTTTTTTGCACGTCAAATAGTTTTCTTTTTTTGTACTATGCAAATAAATTTCAATCGTATGTTTATCTCTTTTATTTCCCAACGTTTCTGCAATGTCATCGACCTTGTAACCGGCCCGGCTTGCATAAGCGTTGATTATATTTTTTTCAACATAGGAAAGAGGTCTCCAATTTTTATTTATTGGAAACTTTCTATTTGGTGATTTTGCTCGTGCAAGTTTTCTCATGATAGATCTCTTGTGCGAGTGAAAATAATTTTTCACTTGTAATTGCGTACGATTTTTTAGGAATCGTGCTATCAATGAGAAATCATTTCCATTACGCCAGGCTAGTATCCTGATTATATATTTCTCCCTCTTGTCGAGTTTTCCATAATTTACTAAAATAGTAATAACAAAAATAATAAATAATTTGATGATTATTTAGTTAGAAAAAAAATTTATTGAAGGAAAAAAACAAAGAATTTTATTAACCATTCGGGTCCAGGTGATTGACATATCTTTTGAAAAAAAGAAGAGAGGAGAAAGGAATAAAAATTTATTAATTATTAGAAATAAAATAAATATTATTATTTAATAATTAATTACCTTTCCCGAATTTTACGGGAATCCAAAGAGTTCATTTCCTCTGAAATTTTTGACCAGTTGGATCCATGTATTCCATATAATCTTTTAATTTCAGCATCTTGCTATTTAATTAACAAGAGAAAAATAAATAATCAAAAATAAAAAACAAGAATTAAATAAATTAATTTTCTATAGAAATATTACCTCTGGAGTTACCAGAGTCCTTGGGTTTCGTGGTTTTTTCGAGAGGGTTTTTTTTTGGTTTTTCATATTTAGTATTGTGCTAGTAAAATAAAATAATATTGAAAAAAAAACAATCGAGGAAAATAAATAATAAAATTATAAATTATAAATATTTATGATTAATAACGATTAAATTTTCTAACACTTACCTCTCTTGAAGCATTCAATTAAAAAGAAATAAAAATATTATTTGTTAATTAGTACATTGTTTAAATATGTTTTCTTGGAAAAATGTATATAATTATAGTTACTCTATTAGGTTTTGATTTAAAAAATATTTTGTACATTTAGTACCAAATTTAGCATTTCAATTATATAGCCAATTGAGATAAATTGAGATACCATGTATATATTATTATACAAATGTACACAATATATATCCGGTATCAAATATCCAACAATTTTACACCCAATAAAAAAAAAAAAGGTAAATGACGCCGAAAACCTGATTATGCATACACACTATACTCTAAGTCTCTATATGTTAGTTAGAATCTTGGAATGTTAACTGACATGAATAAAATAAGAGAATGGTGAAATGTTTCGCCTTAGAACTTGTTTCTAGAGATGACAAATTAGCTATTTTAATTTAGAAACATGATTTATTTTGCTCTAAAGTAAATCAGAAGATTTGGGATATTGACAAAAATATCAAAAACCAGATTTTTCGTACATATTCATTATTATTATCATTGTCATCATTGTAGTTTCTTTCTTCGCCAACGTCTCTACCTTCCTCCATTTAGTTAGGGCATAGCATATATGTGCCTTTTGCATTTGTAAGAATACAAACAAACAAGCATTTATTGTGACAGATATCCGCGAACGTCGATTGGAAAGATAAAGACTTGCCAATAATGGTAATACCTATATATAATGTCAATTTTAATATTGTTTAATTGTAACAGTAATATTGGTGATAAAAAATGAGAAATCCTAAATAAGTTGATTAATATTAGCAATAAATTCTAAACTATAATGTTATTAATAGAATATTCCTATTTATGATAATTTTTTTTTGTTGAAAAAAAAAAAAATCTTTATTAAATAAAGAACGATCAAATCAAAATCATGATTTGTTATTATTATTTATTATTTATTTATTATTATTTATTATCTTTTATATATGTATTTTTTTTTATTCTGGAAAACTTAATCCCGTCTTTTCTGTTTGTTTAATATATATTTATATTATTTTATCCTAATTGCGATCGAGGTGCTTTATTTTTTGCTTAATTTAAACAAATCAAAAAAAAATCCGTATTTAATGAATGAACGTTGGGTAACAAAGAAAATAATTAAATAACGTGAACTTGACAAGTTTTTTCCAAAGCAAAATTTTTAAAATCAAATGAAAAATGAAAACTGAAAACTGCATAAATATGTCGCGCGTGAGTGATAAAGTTCAAGCTAATCTCTCCTTATTTTCTAATTTACTTTTATCAACCTGATTCTAACCTGCCTCTTTTTGTTCTTTCTTCCATGATTTCAATTAATTTAATTAATATTCTAACCATCAAAATAGCTGTTTCTTTTTTAAAATATTTTGAACAATCAGGCCATTTAAAAAATAGCAAATAATAAATAAGGCGCGAGATTTATTAATATATAACACGTATTGATATTTAATATGTAATAAATAACCTTAATTTTATAAACTCATAATCAAGAAAATACGAATAAACAATATTTGATCGATGCTATCTCTTAAATGAATTAGCGCCTTCAATTTTGATTATTTTTTGGTACGTAAATATGTAGATCCCAAATAAATGTTAAAATACAATACGTTTTTTTATTGTTTTATTAGTTATGGGCGTGTTGTTTAATTACTTATTATTTGACAACATTTATAAATTAAAAATGATTGCAAGTGATAAATGCAAAACAGTTTCACGATGGGTTTGTTTCAAACAGGAAAGCTCTCCATAACTCGGTAATTTATAAGTATTAATTAATATTATAAAAATAAATTTAGTGATATAATTGATAGGGACCCAGATAATTATGATAGGCGGCAAAAATAAATTTATTGACATCCCGGGTCTACTTAAAATGAAATTTTGCCCGAATACTGTATTTTTTAAACAATCTCGGTGAATATAATGTGGGTTTTACAACATATGGAGGGCACACACAATCTATAATACCTGAACGTTGAGGCGCAGAAATTTCTTAATTTGTAAACAAAAAAAATGTTTTATCTACTTCATTATAAGTATCACCAACTTTAATCATTATTTGACGCTTTCCTATGAGATTTATAATTGTTTTACTGCACATAAAGCTTCTAGAACTGTTCATACATTTCTACAAGCATCCGTAAATTTCCATGACTAACAAGAAATTTGCAAATGGAACAGTTTTATTTTAATGACTTGAAAGGTATAATTCACAATTTTCACAAGTATATTATTTTGCTGCACTCCAAAATAACTCAATAAAGTTAAGTTCACAGTAGAACTTGGGATAAAAAATAACTTTACGACTCCAAGACTCAACAGTTTCTTCAATAAAAATTTTTATTAATGAAATCAGATTGAAGTTCAAGGATTCGAACTGCATAACAGGAACCTTCAAGCAGACTAATTTGTTGATAGTTATAATTCTTTAAGAACCAATTCCTTTTGGTCTGTCATCAAGCAAATGCATTTCTTGTCTTATTCCATCCAGAGTTGTTCCATCTCTAAATTTGATCTCATATTGGTCTAAGGTTCATTTTTTTTTGCAATTAGTTGATATTTGGCTTAAACGCAAAAGGTCCAATTGAATTAGTATGAATTTCTAAATTAGTTGGTAAGCAAAAAAATTTTTTAAATAAAAATAACAATCAATTAATTCTCTTTGATTGATTTAACTGATTATTTAAATGTTCAGAAGTCCACCAACCTTCACGATTAGTACCAGATTTTATATTACACAGCCTCAACTTCTGTTAGAAATTACTGATATGAATCCAGCTTCTTTTTATTTCAAGACGTATACAATACAGATTCATCGCGTGTAGCAAGTATGTGCTTTTTTTCAATTTGATCCAAGGAAAGCGCTTAATAATTTTCATGATATTATTTTCACTTGCATTGGGAAAATTTTCAGGCGCAATATCAGAAAAATTGTAAGTTTTACTTACATAATATTATGGCACGTTGTAAGATTTACATTATATTATGGCGGGAATGTAATGTTTGCGCACGTTCACGTCAAATTAATTTCCGGATGTGGTTTGGGTATGTATGAGTTCTTTATGTAGCTGCATTTCTGAGAGAATGTTTATTGTTATCTTCTCCCTCATTCTCATCATAATAAACATCTCTGTGATACTTTTTTGATGGTATCACAACCAAATTTATTCAACATTTTATAGTGATTGGCTTTTTTTCTTCAGCCTCAATTTCTGGAAAATATATATTTTTAAACATTCTAACTGTAACATTATTTTTTTGTTCCGATAGGTATTCTTTTAGTTTATATCCTCATGCCAAATATGAGTACAATATTTTCCACCTTTTAAACTTTTAGAAAGCGGTTAACTTTGCTTCCGTTGTTTTTTTTTTCCTGCTGATTGAAGGTTAAGTCTCATTTTTTAACCATTAACAATTGGTTTCAAGTGAACTAGAACCTCTTCACATTCCTTTCTGCCATTCTCATCAATATTACCTTATTTACCAGTGAATTATTAATTGGTTTTTAAAAAAACTTGTCAATTTCATTGTGTTTTCAGTGTCTTTTGGACGCGTGACCCAATTTAGAATAATCGTCTTAATCAAATTTAGTCATGATTTTTGTGTACAGGATTTTCCTCGTAAAATTCCAAAAAAGGAAGGTGTAATGATATTAGATAACCAGTTTTTCTTGTTTAGTACAAAAATGGAATAATTAATTAAAGCGCCCCGGGTGAAATATAATTTCAAATTTCACGTGCGTGAAAATAAATTAATATATAAAAATTTATCTCTAGGGTAATTCCCTGTATAATTAGTTATTAAAAATTTTTGAACAGTCAAGCCTCGTTACAACGAACACATTATTTGACCTCAATTGTCCCTTATAACAGGGGGTTCGGCAATAAATTATCACGTGATAATTTTGTACATTGATACTAACAAAAATAAATAGCAATTATCATTTTTCGCTGGTTTAGATATATAAATTAATTTTTTTCTTTAATGTATGAAAAATATATTAAAGGCGGGGAACGCGATTTTTTTAATGTTGCTGGTATGAATTTGGATCAATATCAAGCCATCCGTTAGAATTTTTTAAGATATCACTAACTTGTCATTTGCTAATCCCAATTCTTTGGCTAAATCAATAAAATTTTTTTATTGTTTTACAAATTCCAATTTTTGTGCAGCAGTAATGATCCGACTAGTAGAATATAATATTAATATATTAATAAATCTTATTAAATATTCGTTATACGGAATAACAAAGGCTTGTTATATAAATTAGTTATAATAAATTTTTTTTTTATTGAAAATCAAGGACAAGACTTTTGTTGGTATAACAAAAATCCATTATAATGAGGACTGTTATAATGAGGTTCGACTGTATAATTTTTTTGAAATATACTGGGAATATTTACCAATTAGATAACCAGCAAGTTTTGACGAAAAATTAGGCTCGAAAAACCAATTTATGTATCAATTTATCAATTCGTTTTCTCCTGCTACTAAAGATTGTTGCTCTGAATGCTTCCATCGTGAGATCATTGGCAAATTCGAGATATATCTATCCATTAATAAGTTATTAATAAAAAAACCGATAAATTTAAAAATAAATCATCAAAAATAAACATGTAGGTTCAGGCTAAATATTGGCACCGTCGACCGTTTAACTGGTTAAGTATTTAGTTTTAATCATTAATTTATAGTTGTTGTACGTGAAAATGCAATTATGTGAATTCGCAATTCACATATGTGAAATTCAAATTTACATATGTGAAATTCAAATTTACATATGTGAAATTCAAATTAGCCAATCAGAATTTCACCCCACTCCATAATATTTTAATTTCACATATTTTCAATTTCACATACAACATAGTCACATGAAATCGACGGGAATTAATAAATCAAAAAATCTTTATTCAGTTTGACATTTATTAGCTATCATACACAATAATAATGCCATAAATGGCATTTGGTCATTTAGTCGTTTGGCCTGTTGACCGTTTTTGGCCAATATTAATATATATATCAATATATATCAGTGTTGTAACCCGAAACCAAAATTTATACCAGTATAGTGCGGGTCACACTAACACATCAAATAAAAATTGACCAACTTTAAAACCTATAAAGAAAATATTGCGTGCTTGTCTGAAAAAATTAGAGACGATATTTGATAGCTTTTGACTAGTTCTACAATCTATCGTCTAGATATTTTTAAAAAAATTATTGGTTCTGGAGTTATTAGCTTTTAAAAATCATGTGATTTTTATATGTTACATATAAAATTTTCCAAATTTGAAACATATAGTTTTGGCCCAACTTATGTTATACATGGCAAAATTTTCTAATTCCGGTCACAACATGTGACCTATAAAAATCGCGTAAATTTAAAATCACGTAAATTAAAGTTTGTACATTCTTCAATAAATAATAAACCTTCATATTTTTATATATATATATATACAAAGCAATGCCAAAACTTAAAAGAAAAATTAAATTATGTAAAGAACTTGCAGCTGCTAAGAAAATCAAAACATCAAATAAAAATAATTTAGTAAATATTGAAGCTTTTAATAATGATAATGATGTAGAGAATTTAGGAGTTGAGGAATTATCAAATAATGTGGTTGAAGGAGATTCAAGTAATGAAGTTGGAGGATATTTAGAAATTGAAATTGATGAGGATTTTGAGTGGTTTGATAATGAAATTGAAAAAAATGCTGAGTCCCTTTATAATGTTTTGTCAAATAATATAGAAAATGTGATATCATCATCATCATCATCATCTAATCGCCCTTTGGTTTATTTAGGTAGTTCTAGAACAACTAAATACAGAAAAAAATTTGAAGCAAAGAAAGATGCTGAAAAAAATGGACAAACATTAGATAGTTTCTTTTCTTTTAATAATACAGTTGATGATGAAGTTAATCATGAAAAGGAAAATTACTCAAGCTTAGCTATAAACAAAATTGAATTAAAATTAAGTGCAGAAAATTTGTCTCCATGATATAGAGTACATTTGAAAGCTGTTCAAAAATACCTTAGTTTAAGAAATAAAGGATATGCAAAAATTGAAGCCAGTGAAATAGTTTCTGATCTTATGAAGAAAGGCAAGTGGTTTTCAAGATGTATAAGAAGCTGGTCAAAGACTTTTTTAGAATATGGTGATGTTCCTAAATCTAGATGTGGGCAACATTTAATTGGAAGCAGTATATTAGATGATGAGGATGTGAGATCCAAAATTATTTCATATTTAAGAATAAATAAGTTTGACATAACAAATTCTAAATTTTGTGATTATGTATCTGATGAGATCTTACCAATAATTGGAATTGAAAATAAAACAAGTATAAGGTAATATTTTTTATAAAATATTTTTATTTATAATTTATAATATAAAGTTAATTATATAAATGCTTGCTTACACTAGTGCCAGTACAGCAAAAAGATGGCTCAAAAAGATGGGATTTGTTTATTCTAAATTTGCAAAAGGAGTTTATGTTGATGGACATGAGCGTGAAGATGTTGTTGAATATAGAAAGAAATTTTTAGAAGTCATTGAAGGGTAATTTTAATTTTATTCTTGTTTTATATATACAATTAATTAATTAGATTTATCATAATGACACAATAGTTACCAGAAATTGATGCCTAAATTTTGAATAAAATAAGAGAATGGTGAAATGTTTCGCCTTAGAACTTGTTTCTAGAGATGACAAATTAGCTATTTTAATTTAGAAACATGATTTATTTTGCTCTAAAGTAAATCAGAAGATTTGGGATATTGACAAAAATATCAAAAACCAGATTTTTCGTACATATTCATTATTATTATCATTGTCATCATTGTAGTTTCTTTCTTCGCCAACGTCTCTACCTTCCTCCATTTAGTTAGGGCATAGCATATATGTGCCTTTTGCATTTGTAAGAATACAAACAAACAAGCATTTATTGTGACAGATATCCGCGAACGTCGATTGGTGTTTTTTTGATTGACGCATGACTTGTGGGTTCATTGTCTCAGCTCTGTTGTTTGGTTAAG